TCATGTCCTGTGCTTGTTACCTGACCCAAATGCAAAACAGGGTGAGTCTCCTTGTGTCTGTGTCCACAAAGAGAAACACACATTCGGGGCCTGTAAGGCATTTCCTGACTTTCATACCAGGACAAAGATCTCTGTCTCCAAAACAAGGGCTCAGTCCCCAGGGCCCTGGGTGCTCACCATCTTCTGGAGTTCATCAGCAGATTCCTGGACCCGCTCTCGGTCATTACTGTCCACCACGAAGATGAGGCCCTGGGTGGGAAGGCATAAAGGAAGGAGAAGCAATCATTCCTGCCTAGGACATACTCTATTCTGGCTCTTTCTCTAATTGTGTCTAAAAACTTCCGCTAAGGCTCTACAGGCGTCCTGGCACAAAGTGGAGACACCCTGCAAAGGATATAGCTGCTGTCCTCAGGCAAGCAGTCTAGCTAAAAGACATACATGGGAACAGGGAAAGACATGTGAGGAGAGCTAAATCAGGCAGCTGGACCCTAGACCCAGAACACTGCTTCTCAGAACACACCTAAGGTGGCTGTCTCAGAAGACTACGGCCAGTTCTGAAGGATGAGCAGAGGCTGGCTTACAAAGGGGGATAAGGCTTTTCCTTGGCCTGGGCCCAGGCTAGGCCAACATCTTAGTCTTCCTAACCCTAACACCACCTCCCCTGGGGTTGGGGAGGCACCCCCGCCCCCACCTGAGTGTTCTGAAAGTAGTGCCTCCACAGAGGCCGAATCTTGTCCTGGCCTCCCACGTCCCAGACTGTGAAACAGATGTTCTTGTATTCCACTGTTTCCACATTGAAGCCTGCAGATAATTGGAAAAAATATGAGAAAAAAGTCCTGAAAGGAAAAAAGTCACTAAAACTAGGTGAATTCAGCAGGGACACAAAACCAGAAGGCAATGATCAAGGAGGCCCCAGGGAACAGAAGCCCAGAGGGCCGGCAGTCCACAATGGGGCGGGGTTAGGTCACATCCAGCCCTCCTGGGCACCATCCAGCCCCTACAGATACTGTGACCCACTTCTCAGTTAGCTGTATCTGGTGTCAGCTCCCAGCACTGGGATGCAGCGTGGGGAGTAGACCTGCGGAGGTCCGCCGCCGCGCTCCCGCTCCTCCCAGTCTTGTCTCCAGACTCACCTATGGTGGGAATGGTGGTGACAATCTCCCCCAACTTCAGTTTGTACAGGATTGTGGTCTTGCCAGCTGCATCCAAGCCAACTGCAAAGGAGAGGGGCACAGCGATAGAGATGGGAGCGAGGGAGCCCCCTAGAGACCAGGGAAGGGGAGAGGCCACACAGCTGACGGTGACGGGGCCGGGGGCCGAGCGCCCGGCGCTCCAGGTGCGCGCCGAGGTCTACCTCCCGGCCTCGAGGGCGATCTGGGCGGCGGGCGCCAACTCCGGAACCCGGAGCGGGAGGGGAGGGGCGGGAGAGGACTGGGGGTGTAAGGTCAGAGGAGAAGAGTCGCGCTCCTTTTAAAAGTCGTCTCCAAGGGCGGAATCCTCCCTTCTTCCCAGCCGGGCTAGGGCGGAGGGAGCTTCACCCCACCCCAGGCCCGCAGCTCCGGGTCTCAGGCCCCCGGG